GTGTTTGAACTACTGACCTTGCAGTTAACAGTCCAATGCTTATCCTTCAGTGCCACAGCACGACTCCATTTGTCATTTTTAATTGTGTTTATTTTGCTATTGCTACTCTTTGTTGTTAAGTGCCATGGAATCACTTCCAACTCATAGTGACTCTATAGCATTTCTGAGGATTGGCTAGTGGGCTTGAACTGCCTTCTTTATGCTTTGCACTCCAGTGCTGCTCCTAAAGTGCCATAAATGGAGCTATTATTGTTGCTGTTATGTGTATTGAGTTGGTACCGACTCATAAGAATTCAGTAGAGAGTTTCTGAGGAGAGACTGGTGTGTTTGAACTGCTGGCCTTGTAGTTCAGACCTACATTTTGGTCCTGCACTTATCCTACAGTACCATACAAGGACTCTAGGAGCTATTATTAGGTTTTTATAACTAACACTCAAACACTAATAGTAACAAAACAAATACAAATAAAAATGATAAAATTGTATAGGCACTTTACCAAAAGGTCATGTACGGATAGACATACAAATTAAGTATTTGTTGTTATTAATTATCAAGTTGGGTCAAATTCATCAGGACTATGTAAATAAAATTCATTCAGGTGTTCTCTGGCTTTCATTGGTACCCTATTTTACACAACATGATGTTCTTTTCTAACAATTGTAGTACACATGCTCACCATGAGTCAGAATCAAATGTACTTCTTCCAGCGCTGGTCTGTTTGTTCTTCTAGAAGTCTAAGGTCTATTTAATATTATTCTCTAACACCATAACTGAACTGCATCAATAATTCTATGATCTTCCTTATTCATTGTCCATCTTTAACATGAATTTGAGGCAATTAAAAATAAGATGACTTGGGTCAGGTGCACCTTAGTCCTCAAATTGACATCTTTGTTCGTGCATACTTTAAATAGATTATGGGTAGCAGATTTGCTTAATTCAGTACGTCCTTGATTTCTTGACTGCTGTTTCTATGAGTTTTGATAGTAGATCTAAGCAAAATGAAGTCTTTGACAACTTCAAACTTTTCTCCAATTATCCTGATATTATTTGTTAGTCCCATTTACTTTTAAGTGCAGTCAAGTTGGTTCTGACTCATAACAACACTGTATAAGGTTTCCAAGGACTGGCTGGTGAGCTTAAGCCACTGTTCTTGTGGCTCAAAACAACTTTACAGTCCTGTACATTAACCTTCAGTGTCATACCAGGAGTCAATTAGTCCTCTTAGTGAGTTGAAATTGCCAACCTTTAGGATAGTAGTTGAGAATTTGAGCTCTTCTGCCACCTGAGAGCCTTAATTTTGTCAAAGCTCATCAAATTGTATCATATAAATGAATTCAGTTTATAATAGATATATTCTAACACAGTTACTTTTTTTTTAGTGTAATTAAATTGGAAACTACTCATAGCAACCCTGGAGATAAATAATGAGGAGTGTCTGGTGAGTTTGAACAACTGACCTTTCAGTTAAATGAACTTTGATGCTTATCCTACAGTGCCACATCCAAACTCCAATAATGGTCAATAATCACATGAAAATATGTTTATAACTATTTATTATCAGGGAAATCTTAATACCTAATGAGATACCACTACACACGTAGTGAAAATGACTAAAAGTATATGGCATGACAATAACCTGACATGGAGTAAAGAAACAGCATTCTCACACATAATTGGAAAGAGGGCAAATCAGTTACACAGGTTTATGTAAGTGTCACATTTGTAGAAATGAACAGTTGAGATCTA